TCAGGACTCACCGTGGCTTGGGAATTTTTACATCAAATGTAGCAAATTTAATAAGATGTCTGAAAAACGCATCCTTTTAGGTTGAAAAGCACACAGGCTGAACCGGGGAGCGAAGTCTTTCGGCGTGTATTTAAGTAGGACAGCTTAAACAACCCGATCGTGGCAACATGGCTTCAGGAATAAAAACGGGCTTGTCACAGTCAGGATGAATTTAATAAAATATTTAAACAATTTTCAACAGTGCTGCGGTGAGACAGAAAAAAAAAAAAAAAAAACCCTGATAATATCCAGTAGTAGAAGAATCGCTTTGAAAAGATTAAAGAGTGTAAACACAGAAGGACCTAAATAAACCCTATGTGCTTTGGTGCTGTTGGATGAATGCTTGTCAGGGGAGCCTGGTAGAGCCTCGTTAACTCCCTCGTTAGCATGGTTTTAGGCTGGGAGGGGAGGGAAGCAGCGGTGTTAGGGTGAGGGATGTGGTCCAACTCACAGCCATCCTTGCTGAGGACCTGGTTGAGGATGGGGATGAAGCCCTCAGGGTTACCTTACCCTCCAGGCTCATCTCTGTGGGCTCTTTTTTCTCTTCGAGGCGAGGCTCTGGGTATCAGTGATCCTTGAGGTGGCTCCAAGAGGCTGAGGTGGGTGATGGGGTCATCACCATGCAGCGGGGGGCTGTGGGATGCCTGCTGCGGGTGCCCCAGTGCTGCTCCAGGCTTTGTGCCAGGATGGTCCCCCAGGAAATCCAGACTTGTTGGGATCTCCACCAGCTCTTGTTCTTCCTATTTCTCCATTCATCCGTAGCATTTTGGGGAGGTGTCGCATCACCCAATTTGGCAAAACTCACCCTCCACCACGGCAGCATCCCACCAAGCTGTCACCCTATAGCAAAGGGCCACCAGCTGCCTCGTTCTTGGCCGCCTTCTCCTTTTACCCAGGAGAACAGCTCAGCGTGGCTCCCTGAAAAGCATCTCCCAGCAGGCAGAGGTCATCCATCACACCGCCCTCATTCCCCGCGTCCCCGCGGTAAGAGGAAGGCTCGTGCCAAGGACTGCAGGTGTGGGGACTCGTACGGGATCGCTGCCTGGAGGAATGTTTTCAGAAGGAAAGTCCCTGTTTTTCTTAAGCACCGCGGGGAGAGAAAGAGCAAACAGGGGAAATGCACAGCTTGGGGATGCACACGAAGCAGCCAGACGGCAGTCCTTGCCAAAAAGATGCTTCAGACCGAGTCTGCAAGTAATCAGCCGTGTCGGAGAAATGACAACACTCAACTATTTCATGTGATTTTTGTTCTTCCCCTTGGAACTGTGCACGCAGCTTTCATTTACCAGAACAGCCAGTTCTCCCCACACCGTTCTGCAGGTTGTGGGGTGAGATGAGCAGAACCTCTTCATGGCGTTCTTGGGGTTCTGGGGCCAAAGGGTGAGATTGTGGGAGGAAGCCCCATTTGACAAGCAGTGAATTTTGTCCATTTTTATAACTCCTTTGTTTAGTTGGGAGTGCAGAGCAAGAAGACAAAAGCTCTGTGTGTGTACGAGTGCATTGGTAGAGGTTGAAATCCTGCTGTTGCCTGCAGGGACGGAGTGCTGCTGAGGAGTGGGGTCAGACTCGGTGGCTGTAAGTCCATGCCCCATTCCTTTGGGGCCCAGCAGAGCTGTGGCTGCCATTCTCAAGCAGTGCTTTGCTTGCAGGAGCACATTGCATTTGCAGAAAGCATCATGGAAAAAAAGGATTGGGACACTGGATATTCTTGGAGCTCTTGGATGCTCCCAGCGGCGTTGCGGGGCTCTGAGAGTGCTGAGCCATGGGAAGGCTTCAGAAGTGCAAATGAAGCTGCTGGCACAGTGCTGGCAGCCCGGTGCTGTGTCCTTCTGTCTCTCCAAGCCAGCTGCAGGGTTTTCAAGCTGCCTCCAGCCCCAGCTGCAATCCTCCTCAGCAGCACTCACCTTCCTGACCTTGCAGATCTTGCATGAAGGAGGAGAGAAATTTCCTGAGCTGGGTGAACAAGCCCTGCTGTATGGGAAGAGCTCTCCCTTTGTCAGAGAGCCCCTATAAAGTGCTGGGCACTCCCTTATGGACAGTTGGAAGGTGGAAACTCACCCTACTGTCTCCTTATGTGACGGCCTTGGGGAAGTTGGGATGGCAATGGGTTTCTCATGTAGGAGAGGGCTGGGCAGTGCTGTTAGGGCTCTGAGGGCTGAGGACAGGGCTGGAGCATCTCTGTGGCACCCGTGGGGTCTGTAGGGCTGCAACAGGGCTGATGGGGAAGGAGAGTGGTGCAATGCTATCATAGGCTGAGCCAAAGGGATGGCAGTGAGCTCAGGCTGAAAGCATTGAGCAACCCCAATCCCATCTGTGCAGGCAGGCTGGGGATGCCCGCTTTGGGGTGGGATCTTCACTGGGTGAGTTTATGGGAACTGCTGAATCAGGGACCTCGGATTGACCACCTGAGGTGAGCACTGAGTCAGCCCTGGGAGCACAGGTGAAGGCAATTCTCTTGTGCTACTGGAAGGGCTGGAGCCAGGCTGCACCTCTCCTAGACCCCATTGAAGAGCTGACTATCAATGGGGAAGGGTTTCTTCTGGAGATTGCTCCTCTTGGAGTCTTCTCAGTGAGCCCAGGATGAGGGTAAGCTTTCCAGCTATTCTTCTTTAGTGTGATAACCTGTTCAGCCTAACTTTCCTGTATATTTCTGAGTTATAACATCTGTATATTCATTGCTTATACAGTGGGACAGCCAGCACTCTTCAGTGCCATTAGAGATGACAAGACTTTCACCAGAACAAATGGCTTCGTTTTCTAGGTCAGCCCTGCTGGTTGGGGCGATGGTGGGCATGGAAAGCTGGTGTTTCTTTTCAGCTTTTACCAAGGCTGTGTTGCTGCAGAGTGACTTAAAGTGCATTAGTGTCCCAATGCAGGAGCTGCACAGAGCAGCTTGGTAGCAGCTCTCTGTCGCTTGTCCTTTTGTCTGCTGAAATTCCTGTAGCAGAGAAGCAGCCAGCTTGCTGATCATATTTTCCCCTTGGTTTTATCTTTTTTTTTTTTTTTTTTTTTGCTGGGGGCTGGGAGTTGGTTGCAAGCATCACGTTGGGGAGATGGACTGCTACCAGCATTTCAGTTCAAGCATTGCACCCAGTGCTCATGTGGGGAGCAGAGATGGGAACAGAGTGTGCACTGAGCAGACCCTGTGCTCTGCGTCGTGATGGCTCATGGGGGAAGCATTTCCCATCTGCACCTTGGTGTGCACACATGGTTTGTGTTTGTGGTGCACAGAGGGAGGGGGCAGGGCCGTGTGTCCCATTGCAAACAATTATAAATGAACAAAAGCAACAACAACAAACCTGAAATCAATCATTGAGCAAATGCTCTCTGCTTTTGGCTGCCTGTGCGTGAAGATGAATGTGGAAACCCAGCCCTGGTGCAAGGCAGGTCCGTGTGGTTGCTTCCTGTGCCACCTTGTTGAGCTCCCTGCCCATCCCACTGGGCCGGCTGCAATTGAGCATCCCTGCTGCAGGAAGGGGTTTGCTCCCTGCAGGGTTCTTGCTGTGCTTGCAGCCCCCTTATGCAGTGGCTTTGGCTCAAGGATCCATTCTGTGGTGTTTCTCTCTCTTTTTCTCATTTCTCCTAGTTGTAGAGAAACCAAGCCTTCTGCCTTTCAAGCCAGAAGGTGGATGTGTGGGGAAATGGTGAGCGCGCTATGATCCAATTAAACAAACCCCCTGTAATTGCTGTAATTTCTATAATACCTACAAAACAGCCAGCTGGTACAGCCGGAGCTCCTAGCACATTTTACTTCTTGAACAGAAGGAGAAGGTTGCACCTCCACGCTCAAGCAGGTGTGCCAGGGGAGGGATCCTGCAGAGCAGGCGTGCTGCTGGGCTGCTCCCCCCTCCCCAGTGCCCCCTCCACCAGCATGAAACGGGCTGCAGTTTCAAAGCTGAAACATCAATGCAGCCTCGTTGGTGATGAGGGAGATAATTAACGAGTGGGATGCTTGGTGAGGTGATGTTTGATGATGCAGAGCTGTGAGGAGAGGTGGTGGTGGAGCTGATAGCAGCTGACTCTTGTATTATCGCTGCGGCGCTGCTGTGCAGAGCACTTTCAGCTCAATGAAGGCACCCTGAGCTGCACTGCTGCCTTTTTCAGCCCGTTTCAGCATTGTGCTTTACCAGCCACTGGCTAGCAATCTGTAGAGCTGTGAGTGAGCTGGGAGTATTTTAGGAGCCAGTGGTTTTCAGGAATGAGTGCTTTGCCTGTGCTTTATGACTATGATTCAAGCAGCCTTGGCTAGCTCGCCCCCAAATTACCCGTGTGTGCAGATGTTTATGGGTCTGCTGGAGCCGTGGTAGAAGCCTCGGGCTGCACTTTCTTGCTGGGTATGAATAAAACACTGCAGGGATCCTCTCTCAGCCCTGGAGTTTCAAATATTAATAGGCTATCGCTTTCACGACAAGCGGTGCAACAGGTTGAGAGCGCTTTGCTGGGAAGTGTTTCCTTTTAGTGAGACCACGTATTTTAATGGCATGGCAGTGTTGCTTGAATTATGGATAGCCCAAAGTGCTGGTCCACTGCATGTCCACAGATAGAGGCGTCTTTGCAAGCGGGCTCTCCATCCTCTGTCATCACTGCACGGCTGCACAGCCCCGTGAGCACAGAGCAAAGCACGGCGTGGGCAGCCTCAGCCTCCCTTCATCTCCATCACCAACTGAGGATGAGGAGGGGTGGAGAATTGCAACCATTCAGTCCCAACAGGCAGACTTCCCAGCTGGAAATCGAGGTGGAAAAGCTCCTTCTACACTTCTGAAAAGGCAGGGCTTGCTAGCGAGGGCTGTCCAAACTCTGCTGGGTTTGGGCAGCCTGTGCGCAAAGTTAGCCAACACTTTGCTCCATCTGGCAGCATGTTGGGTGATGTGTGGTCTGGTTAGCTGGATGCAGTCCTCCCACTTCTCTCATCTTGTTTTGTCTTCTTTTCTCTCTCCGTTCCTCGTTTTCTGGACCCACAGCAAACCCTGGAGACAAACCTCACCAACCTGGTTAAACGCAACAGCGAACTGGAGAACCAGATGGCCAAACTGATACAGATCTGCCAGCAAGTGGAGGTCAGTGATCACAGCGTGGGTCACTGGGGAGCTCCCAGATCAAGCCAGGGGGGGTGTGCAGCATTATTCCCACCTCCCTCCCACAGCAGTGGGACTGTGGAGGGGGTGGGCTATGAGGGTTGGTGGGAGGCATTGCCTGCACTGAACCACTTCGGAGAGGTTGGTCCCAAATGATGGAAGATCCCCGTGGATCTGTAGGGTGGGAAGGGGGAGGTGCTGGTGTGACTGTGAGCTGCTGGAAGGAGATCTATAGGTTCTGTTGCTTTATATTTCTATGTGTTCCCATAGCCTGTAGTGTCCTCCTGGGGTCAGCTGTGTTCCTGTTTCATCTGGAGCTCAGTTAGGATCTGATGGGGCTGAAGTGCTGAAAAAATATTGGCTGCAGCATCTCAAAGAGCAGAACCTGGACATCTGTCCATCCCCTAGCTGGCCAAATGCAGTCATAATCATGGAACCAAAGTTTCTGCAGGTGTAGATGAGGATGCATTGTGGAGCCTACAGCTGCTTGCAGGGATCTGGGGGCTCAGGGGTGTGCTCTCACCTGGGGGACGTTGTGGGCTGCAGCGGTCCCAGCACAGGAGCAAAGCCAGGCAGCTGCAGCTTGGAAGAGGACAAGGACAGCAGTGCTGGGAGCATCTGGGCATGCAGTGGTGATCCTCAGCACTCTGGGGGTGCAGAGCAGCCCTCACCTGTGGCACAGGACTGGTGTTCCCATCTGTGGGAAGAGCCTTCAGCCCCCTTGGATGGAGGAGACGCTGCAGTCACGGTCCTTTTGAGTCTCTCATCCTCTGGACCTCTCCGGGTTGTTGTGCTCACCCTCCTGCAGCCCATCCTCACATCTCTGTTGTGGCCTCGCTTTCCTTCCTGCTCCCAAACAGAGGCGGTGCGCCTCCCCGCATCCTTCCTGCTGTCAGGACAGGGATTGTGATCTCCCTTGCTTGCCGGGGCCAAAGAGCAGCAGTGGAGCTGATGGCAGTAGCACACGGAAGGGCTTTGTGCAGGGATTACAGGAGAGCGCTGATGGGAGAGAGGAGATCACCTTTAATCCCACCAAAGAAAGGGGCTTGGCTGACCTTGCTGCTTTGACCACTTGATCTGCAAAGCCCCTCATGTTTGGATGTGCACTCAGGCATCTCTTGTTTGCATTTGCAAGAGAGCTCCGTGCCAGCCATGCTTCTTGGCTACAGCTGCTGGGCAATGTGTTCCCATGAAACCTTCAGCAGGAAGAAGGCAGTTAATACCTCGCTGTTGTCCTGAAGTACATACATCAATTAATAGCAAATTCATTTGCAGCTTTGTTTGCTGAAGTGATACACGGAGAGGGGCTGTTGCAATTAATTACTTCTTAATGGGCCATTGATTTTTTATTTTTTTTTTTCAGTTGCTGAGTTGAGCAGCAGGTTCCTTGAACCAGCGCCTTGCCAGGGAGCGAAGGCACTGATCTGCTGCAGAGATTGCTGCTGCAGGACTGGGGGTTTTGCCAGTGCTTAAGGCAGTGTGAGGGGAATTTGCTTCACTCTCAGTCACTGCAATGGGCCCTGGCTGGAGAGTGCAGCCCTGGAGCTTCCCATGTGCATTCCCAGGGCTGCCTCACCATCCAGGCAGCTGGTGGGAGCAGCAAGGCATGTGGGGATGTAGGAAATGGGGATGTGGGAACAATGCAGGGATATGAGGGTACAGACACATGGGACTGCAGGGATGAGAGTATGCAGGGACGCAGAGACTCGGGATGCAGGATGTGGGGATGTGCACATACAAGGATGCAGGGATGCTGCGTGCACCATCTGGAGTCATTTCCCCACAGTGTCACACACGGGGGGGGAGGGGGAAAGAAGCTCCACCATCTGCATCTCAGAGATGGGGCTCTGCCTCTCCTCCATCAGCACTTTATTCTGCGAGTGCCTGCCATGCTCAGGACCTCTCCCTATGGAGGGGTGCAGCTGAGGCACGAGGAAAGCACTCTGGATGGAGCAGGGGGGTCTGCGTTGGGCTGGGATCTGTATTGTGCTCCTGAGGAATTCAGGGATGTGGAGCTCTGATTGCACCACTGCCCTCCTGCTGCTCTGAATCCCAGGTTTGATTCCTACCCCCCCACCACTACCTTGCAGCAGATTTTGAAGATTATCCTGTTTTTCTCAGCTGAGCTATCCTCGCAGACCGGCAGCTGTCTCCCACTTTGCCATTGCATAACCTGCTGGCCAGCTTTTAAAAAAAACATCTTGTAGCAAACGTGTTTTGCTCAGGGTTGGCTTTGGAGTTCTCCACTGTTGGAGATCACTCTGAGAGCACAATGTGAAGAAAACCTATTTCTATTTTTCCCAACACTTCTGGGCTTCCAGGTGGGAACATGGACACGGGGGGAAGCTCATGGCTTTGTTCCATTTCCTTGCTGCTTTGCTTGGAAGCTCTATTGCTGCAGGTGGGGAAGGAAAGCTGAGGGGGAGAGGGCCCTTCCTGAAGCTCCTTGCTGAGTGCAGACGTGGCCAGGGCAGTTCTACAGCCACAAGCTTTCAGCTCTGGAAGATCCATTCAGTGGGTTGTATTCCTACCATCAGTACTTGGGTCTGGGAGGTGTCACAGTGGAGGAAGCTGTGCTGTGTGCTCACTCCATTCCCCCTATTGGTGCAATAGAAGTGGGAGCTGCCAGAGGGGCTCGCATCCCATTTCCTATCCCAGCTGATGGAGCGTGGCCACCTGCGGTCCCTGGTCTTTTTCAGAGAGCAGTGCCTTGTGGTGGTACCCCAGCAGCTCCAACCATGCCTTTGCTTTCCCTGCCCAGGTGAACACAGCCATGCACGAGGCCAAGCTGATGGAGGAGTGCGACGAGCTGATGGAGATCATCCGCCAGCGTAAGCAGGTCATTGCTGTCAAGATCAAGGAGACGAAGGTGAGCACTGTGTGAGTCCCCAGGGCTCCTCCTGCAAGGACCAGGCTTGCACAGTTGCTTGCATCAGCCCAGACAGCTTCCTCAGGGCTTTTCTATCGCTGCTCTGCTGATATAATAATGTAGGATTAATATTTAAGGGCCATCCGAGCCCTGTGCTGCATCATAGCCCTAGGCAAGCTTTCCTGCCTTACTGAGCCTGGTATGCTTTGGGCTCTGTGCACCCATTGCAGCACCCAGAGCTGAGCTGTGCTGCTTTTCCTGCTGGGAGCATCACCACCCCAGCACTGGGGTGTCTGCACACGAGGGCTGGGGATCAGCTCACCCCACGTGCATCTGTGCAAGAGCCAGTGTCACCCTCGGGCACTGCAGGCCCTCCTCTGCAGGGGTGGAAGCTTGGAAACGTGTGCTTTTATCCCAGCCACTTCAGGAAACATATTTTATGTAACGGTGCCTTCTGCTGGTCCATCTGTCTGTCTGCCTCTCACTTCCCACCCTCTCCCCCGAATGCATTTTGACCACGTTGTCCAGTTTCAGGCAGGCTTGGCAGAGCGCTGGCACTCAGAACTGGGTTTTCCTCCAGGTTGCTTCCTGGGGAGAGCAGAGAGGCTCTGATGTCTGCCCCACACTGACAGCAGGAGCTCAGCTGTGTGTGAACTCCAAGCAGTGAGCTGGTGCCTGAGCAGCTGCAATTCCAGCACCGCTGCTGCACGTGTGTGGTGTGGGGCTGGGGGCACTGAGGGGATGGCTGTTTGGCAGTGGGTGAGCTGGGAGCACGGCACAACCCCTGGGAGCCCCTCCGTGGTGCTCCTTGTGCATCCCCAGGTCTCTCAGCATCTCTGCTCTGAGCTGCTCGGGATGGGAGGTGTGAGATATGCGGTGGTTTCTAAGCAGCCTTTCTTAGGAGCCTGAGCTGCAAACAGTGGAGAATTTAACAAGCACCAAAAAAAAAAAAAAAGCAGAAAGGAGAGAGCTGGGGCTGGTGGCTGCCTGGGAGTGCTCAGACTGCACAGTGAGAAGCAGCGTGCTGAATTACCTTTGAGTTCTCCACTTCTGGGCTGCTCTTCCCAATGAGAAGCCCAGCACAAAGCGTGGGTGGCTGCTCGCTCTGCAGACAAACCCCTCTCTCTTTTACAGTGGAAAAAGCATCAGCTGTGCAGGGAGGCAGCACGAGGCGATGCTCACCTAACAGCAGCCCCAGTCCTCCCCCTGCACCCTTTGCCATCGGGGACTTACAGACCTGTGGTTACTGGTGTCCCTGGGGAGGCTGTGAGCTCCTGGGGCTGCAGTGCAGGTGGTGATGCCACGTGGGGGCACATCCTCGTGCACCAGAGCCCTTCTGCCTTCAGACAGCACAGACCAGAGCTGCAGTCCGAGGCTTGTGAAGCTTGAGAATCCCCAGAGATGAGTGCTGTGGGCTCTGCTGTGTGCTGGGATGTGGTCAGAAGGAGCTGGTGCCTGGGCACACCATTGTAGTAAGGGCTGGGGCTGTTGCTGTGCTCTCTCTCATCTCTTGAAACTTGTCTTTTCATTTCTCCTTTGGATGATTTTTATCTTCCACCAAGGCTGGTCTTAAAACAAGCCACCCCTCAGCCTGCTGAGCCCCAGCAAGCCTCCCTGCCTGCCCTGTGCAAACAGCCCTTCGGAGCCATGCCTGCCTGCTGCTAGCTGAGGCGAGCCCCCTGCCCTCCAGTTCCTCAGCTGGAGCAGTTTGAAGCCCATCTGCTGGCTTCCCACCTCCATGCTGTCTGTCTGCAGCTCATGCAGTGGTTCTGGAGCTGGGATCCTACTGCCCTGCCAGGGGCCTGGCTGTCAGCATCGAATCACTGGGATTTGCTGGCTGGGGATGCAGTGACAGCGCTGACACTTGGGAGAGCAGCTCCAGCAGCTGCTGTCAGCTCCCAGCACTCCAGCTTGGCTGTTTGACGAGTCCCAGGCACTATGGGCACGGACTGACAGCGTGCTGGGGGGGCGCGGGGTGATGCAGCAGTGTGAGGGGGTTATCATTAAAAAGATGAAAAACAGGAGGAGGGGTTGACATCAGGATGACATGTGTGCAGGTGAGCAGTGCAGAGCACCAGCTGTGCCCCTGGGATGTGGGGTGGGATGGCTTGGGTGGGCACACGGAGCACAGGGAATGGGGATGGACCTGCAGTCTTGTGGTTGGGTCATTGTCTGCTCTATTTCAGTACACCCTACAGAAACATGACTGCTGCAACCTGTGAGCAATGCCAGGGATGAACATTGCTCCTTCAGCTCAGTCCTTGCTGCATGGTGGGAGTTTTTAAGGGGTTTTCACTGAGCTTTTCCCCCATAGGTTCTTCTGAGAAGTGACATTTAGTTGTGTTTCTCTGCTCCCTTGAGTACTGGTGGTACTCCCATGAGATGTGTCACCAAGCCTGTTGTCTTTGTTTCTTCCTTTGTGTCTTGCTTGGTGCTATCTATCAGTAAATACCCCCCAAGGAGCCCCATAGGAAAGAGACCAAGTGCTCAGAGGGTCCAGGACTGGGTCAGCACTGTGCAGGACTTGTTGGGATGCCAGCAGGGACGGAGCAGAGGCTGCTGTGCCCTATGTTAGGGTGCACGTTGGTGCTGCTTTCCCATCTCCTATGGCCATCCAGCTGAGCACCACCGCCTTGCTGTGCTCCCCCCACAGGTGATGAAGCTGAGGAAGCTGGCCCAGCAGGTCGCCAACTGCCGGCAGTGCCTCGAACGTTCCACGGTCCTCATCAACCAAGCAGAGCACATCCTGAAGGAGAATGACCACGCTCGCTTCCTGCAGACAGCCCGGAATGTGGCGGAGAGGTGGGTGGCAGCCTGGTTGCCTAACTGTTGTGAGATACCCTGCAGTGATCCCATTGTGTCCCCCAAGTGCTGCCCTTGGATAGCACTGCTGGTGGTGGCAGGGCAGGAGCTGCGTGGCACCTCTGCAGGATGCTGAGGGATGCAGCCTGGCTCCTCAGTCGGACAACAGCAGTGGGAGCACCCATGTGGGGAAAGCCAAGCTGGGGCACAGGGATGGGACCCCCAGTGATGGACCCCCAGCTCTATGCCCTGTCCCTGATGCTCCACTGGGTGTCGTGCTGCGTCACCTGCTGTCCCCTGCTGCCATGCCGTGTCACCATGGGGCTGCTCACCCCCTTCCCATCGGCCAGGAGTCGGGAGCAGAGTGCGCCCCGATGCGGATTGATGGGCTCTTCTCTCCTTTCAGGGTCGCCATGGCAACTGCATCCTCTCAAGTTCTGATACCAGATATCAATTTTAATGACGCCTTTGAAAACTTCGCCTTGGATTTTTCCAGAGAGAAGAAACTGCTGGAGGGGTTGGATTATCTCACCGGTGAGTGCAGGGGCACGTAACCCCTGCTCTGCCCCCCAGCACTGCCTCTCTCCCCCCACTGAGTGCTGGGAGGGGGGATTTTAAACCGGGTCAATGGTGGGTCATAGCAGAGCAGAGGCCCCAAGGCAGCGATGTGTTCCCATCACCCTGTTGGCACCACAGGAGTTCAGAAAGTGGGGGGAAAAATGATGCTCTCCACCAGTGATGGAGGAGGTGATGCCCCAAGGGTGGGACAGACAAGGAGGCATGGGATTAAACTGCTTACTGTGCCACGCTGGGGCTGGAGAGCCAGGGGGAGGGCTGGGGGCTGTGTGGAAATGAGGACGTCGTTACTTAATAACTTGTAAAACGAGGCTCTGCTCCCTGTGTGAGCCCCATAAAGAGCAAAAAAAAAAAAAAGCCCAATGCATATGGCAGTGAGCAAACACCAGCTTGTTGAATTCATTCCCTGCAGCACCGAATCCTCCGTCTGTGCGTGAGGAGCTCTGCACGGCCTCCCATGACACCATCACAGTCCACTGGATCTCGGAGGATGAGTTCAGTGTCAGCTCCTACGAGCTCCAGTACACCATCTTCACCGGGCAAGCCAACTTCATCAGTAAGTCACTGCTTATTGAGCAGCCCCCAACCCAAAAGTAGGCATCGCAGAAGCAGGGATGCTGATCTCATGTTCTGCAGGAGGGCACAGCTGGCCTGGTGCATCAGCTGGGGGCTCAGAGCACAGCAGGAAATGCCTAGGGGATGGAGTATCTGTTTAATTTCCTCCCTTCCTAAAATGATGGTTTAAAATGACACTTAAAATGATCTAAATGGACTCTCGGGTCTTCAGCACCAAGCGATTGCCCTGGTAGGGAGAGGTGGTGGAAAGAGCAGGGCTTGGAGCTGTGACAGCCCAGCAGCCCCCAAGGATGGGGAAGTCACATCTGCACTCTCCATCGGGTCTTCCTCATCATTCACTGTCAGAAAATATTATTTAAAAGCCCAACACAGAAGCTGGTTTGGTTGCACTCGGAGGAAAGGGAGATTTGTGGGTCTCCACAGAGGGGCAGAAGAGTGGCTTGGTCAGAAAGCCAAGCACTGTTCTCCATGATTTCACGTGCCACAGCCTTATTCCTGAAATTGGAGGGGCTTTGCATGGATGTGTTAATTGGAGCACAAAAGTACATCTTCCAGTTCGTCCATCCTGGGATGGTGCCCTTGGGAGAGGGCAGCATCCCAGCAGGACGGCCAGGCACTGATGTTCTGCTCCTGGCTGTAATTCGGGGCGCTCAGTGCTGGAGGATGCACTCCCCAGATGCTCTGCATGGACTTTTTGGGCTTCCATTAGCTTATCTAACCTCACAGGAAGATGGAGGCTCAGGAAGGCTGTGAAGTGCCCCGTGCTGCATGCAGGAAGCTGCTGCAGCCACGTCCTGCTGGCGGCTCCCAGAGCTGATAAACGTGCATCCCCACAGCCAGGAGTGGAAAATGCTGATTGATTTCCTCTTGGCCAGACGTTGCCTGCGGTTACCCGGTCCTACAGCATCCGGATGTCCCCACCCTGCTGCCCTGTGCTCCCCCTCTCCTACAAACACCTTTTCTCCAATGTTTTGCTCTTCTCTCAGAGCTCGGTGAGCATTTTAGGCATCCCCAGCCTCCATCTCCATGCCAGCTGAGAAAGGACCACTGAGCTGTTCAGGGGCTGAGAGGCACCAGGAGGTCTTTGCCCCACTCTCAACGTGGATGGAGCCCACTCAGGGCTCGGCCCCATGGGGTGGAGAGCACGAACCCTGAGCCCTATGCTCAGTGCCTGGGAGTGGGATGGGCTTTGGCAGAGGTGGGAACGACACGGCTGTGGTGATGAGCAGCAAGGAAAGCCCAAAAGGGCAGGCGTCTGCAGCAGCTTCCTTGGCCTCCTTCTCGAAGAAGGAGGAAAGAAAACATCAGTTAACACCTCCAAGCAGAAAATGAATAATATATTGTCACTTGCAATAACGTGTTCAGGACTGGGCAATGAAAGAGTCTGAGTTCTGCAGGAAACCATGCGTGAAGAGGTGATGAAAATAGCACACAGGGCTCACCAAGCAGAGCACCAGCGGGCTTCCAGCGGGGCAGGTACCTGCTCATGACACACAGCTGCTCGTGCACAGCTTCCCCTGCACGCTGCCTTTACATCTGAGTGCTTGGTGGGACGCAGGTGTTTTGTATAGATGACAAACGCTGCGATAAAAAGGATGTTTTCCAGCTTTGGCAAGGAGAGGAGCCCTCAGCCCTCCAGGCCAAGCCTTTCTTGGTAGCTTTGAAAAGGACACCAGCTTTGGAGGCTGAATTGCTCCACGATTGCCATCTCTCAGCCGCTGTGCCCTTTGTGGGGCCGGATCCCAAGGTGGCTCTTGGCTGCAGGGAGATAACAGCCACCACAGCTCTGCCTGCAGGATACCGTCGCTATCATCGCTGTTGGATTTTCTACTTCAGATAGCATTGCTCTGCTCCCCTAGGCAGCTTCCATGTGTACTTCAGACCAAATCCTTGCTGACAATGACTGCAAGCTCTGGCTGGCTGAGCCGCGGGGGAGGAATAATCCCAGTGCTGTCCCCACGTGAGCCTTCGAGGAGGAGGTGTGGAGTGTTTTTCCGGCTCCCGACGCACAGCTGTGCACACACGCATGGCTGACAGGATGCTGGAATCCCTCCTCCAGCAGCACGCACCTTCCCAGCCCACTCCTCACACGCTGTCTCACGCCTCGCCCCCAGACCTGCTGGATTGCAGGGAGCCCCCAGCTCCTACCACCGAGCATCACTGATCCTCCTTATGCTGAAGGCAGCGCTCCCATGTTGCAGCATCAGCCCCAGAGCTGCTTTCTGAGAGCCTGGAGCATCTGGAGCTGCAGTGGATTCCATGGAGCACCAGTTGCCCACAGACTCTTGGTGCCAGCTCAGCTGTTGCCCCCAGAACTCGCAGCTCCCTTTGCCCTCAGAAGGTCATTCTTGCCCTGGGACCTGCTGCACACTTCAGTGCTTTTCTCCTTTCCTGTAGCACCATGTCGTGGAATCACGAAATGGCTGAGGTTGGAAGGGACCTTTAAGATCACGGAGTTCCAACTCCTGCTGTGGGTTGTAAGGTGTCACCCCATCTTTAATACAGCACTATGCTTTCAGTATATCTGTCAAACAAACCCCTGCAGCAATTAGGGCTTGGGGCCTCCACAGTCTCCTAATTAATTTCTGTTCCCAGGAAGAGCCCTTTCCCTTACCCAGGAGTAACCCTTTCCCCTTCTCCTATACGGCAGGTCTCTACAACTCCATGGACAGCTGGATGATCGTCCCCAACATCAAGCAGAACCACTACACCGTGCACGGGCTGCAGAGTGGCACCCGCTACATTTTCCTGGTCAAGGCCATCAACCAGGCAGGCAGCCGGAACAGCGAGCCTGCACGGCTCAAAACCAACAGTATGTATGGGGGGGAGTGGAGCGGTGGTCCCCAGCATCACCTCCCTGCCCTGGGGGGGCTTGTCTCAGTGCTGTGTCACCCAATGTGTTCCAGTCAGCTCTCTGCTGGGGTTTAGGGGCTCATAAGGTGCAGCTTTCATAGGATCACAGAACGGCTGAGTTGGAAGGGATCTTAATGCCCACCCAGCCCCGCTCCAGTACTGTGGGTTGGGTATCCCACCAGCTTAGGGCCCACCTGCAGCCTCTGGCACCTCGAGGTATGGGGCAGCCCCATCTCTGGGCAGCAGTGCACAGCCTCACCGCCCTCTGAGCAAAGAATTTCTGCCTACCATCTGACCTAAATCTCCCCTCTTTTAGCTTAAAGCCATTCCCTCCAGCCTGGCGAGCGCAGCGCTCCTTCGGGCTTCTCTCCGTGACGCTGCAATCACTCAAGGCTTTGAAGGCTCTGAGTAGGCTTTTGAAATGATTTATTGCCTCCACCTCCTCATTTTCTTTGCGAAACCTGCGCAACCTTAAACAAAATGAGCTGAAGTGGAGTCGGTGCACTGGTGGGGTGGGGGGAGCTGCTGAGATGGGCAGGCTCCAATCCCGTTCTGCCTTGTTTGTTAACAATGCATCCCTCCCACGGCTGCTGTTTTTAAGAGCTTTCTAAGTGCCTTGAGAGGTGCTCGCTGTGCAAATAAGAAATTGGGGACTTGACAAGCCAAGAGCAGTGGTGTGACACAGCAGCGCGGAGGGGAGCAAAGGCTCTTGCTTCAGCAGCTCCCCAGGGACAGAGCTCACTCCGGGGTTTTTTTAGCCAAGTGTCATTTGCTGGAGATAGGGGCATGATGCTGAGCGCTCTGCTTGGCAGTTGAACTCCATTTAGGAGAATAAATCAGTGCCCAGTCGGGCTTTGAACTCCCCTTGTCGCTCAGATGTGTCTGCAGCAACTTGCTGCACTTGTTAAAATCTGGAGCAGGCATTGCCTGAAGCGCTACACAAATTATTTTGTGTTTCTGTGGCTTTGAGGAGCTCCCTCCTCGGGCAGCAGTCCCAGTGCCTGCAGCTCTGCTGCTCTTCGGGCCACCAATGGTTGGTGGGTGATGGTGCCCAGTGGCTGATGGCCAGCCCTGCTGCTTATCTTCTGACTTCGCCTATTGCTGCCTGCTTTTATGTGCTGTAAAGTTTTCAGGTTTCTGGAGCAGGGAGCTGTTATTCTGGCTGCAGGGATGGGCTGTGCACATGAAGAGGGCTCACTGGTCATCATTGGCCAGATTTTTGGGTGATGGTGGTAGCTTGACTTCAGTGTTTCTTGGGGCTGTGTCTGGTGCCTCACTACCTGTCTCACCTCTCCCTCCAGCAGGATGTGGGCAGCTGGATGGAGAGGGGCAGCATCCATCTGAAACAGGGAGATGGGAGGAGAGGAGCTGCAGTGATTTGGCAAAGGGTTGCCTCCTCTTGAGTTTAGTTTGTATTTTCACAAAATCACAGAGAGTCAGAAAAGGCCTCTACGATCACCAAGAGCAACCAACCCATTGCCACCATGCCCACTAAGGCCACGTTCCTGCCTGATGTCCTTGGGCAGGGGGCACTGAGGAGGGATGTTCTCTTCCTGCATGCCAAACCTCAGGTCAAGGGATGCCGCATGGTGCTGAGCATCCAGCACAAATCGAGCTCTGGGATTTTGTGTGTGAAGTCAGCAGGATGCTGTAATACCTGTGAACTGTAGGTGGTTGTGCCCTGCAGCAGTGGGTGCTGGAGAAAGCCCCACTAGGGATGAAGGATGGTCCGTAGCCTACAGTTTCCAACAGAAAGCCATGAATGGGCTGGTGTGGGATGCTGCCCTTGTCATCACGGAGCTGTGTGCTTCTCTCCTTTCCCAGTGGGCAATTAGAAGACAGCATGCACTTTCCAGCTGCTGTAAGCTCCACGGAAGTGTCAGCAGTTCGACGGGCAGGGCCAATTAGCATGTTTCACAGCCTTCTTTATGTTCCCAGAGCGCTGTTTGGAGAGATGGCTTTGCCACAGAAGGTCAGTGTCAGGGCACATTGATTTCTGCAGCATCAGCGCTGCCACTAAATCTGTGTTTTCAAGCTGCCCTGAGCAGAAGAGCTGGGGGAAAGAGCTTTGGTCTGGTGACAGGAAGAAACCTTTTGCTGAGGCTGTTCTTGGGTAGGTCTTAATTATTAGCAAGTGTCCAAAAGTGGCTGAAACTGACAGAATGAGGGACTGTGCAAGGGATGGCGGTAAATGGAAGGTGCTCTCCATGGTCCTTGCCATGACCGTTGTGGGCAGGTCTGATTCTCATGCTCATTTCTGTCTTTTCCTGATCTGTTTGAGACCCCGAGGGTCATACAGTGCTTCATTGGAGGGTGGGCTTGCAGCAGTGTGAGCAGCTCTGCTGTTAGCAGCAGGAACCCGGCAGTGCTGATGCTTCCTATGGGGTGAGGTGAGATAAGCGTGATCCCAAAGCAAGCTGGGAGTGTTGGAAGCTTCGTAGGTCTGAATAGGTTAACTCAGCAGCTCAGCATCATGGCTTTGCTTCCTCAAAGTGATGGGAGGACAATGGTCACTGCTCTCCAGACCTCTGCCAGGGGTCTTGTGCTGCACTGCAGCCAGCCTGTTCCTGACTGCACAGCTGGATGGCCCAGCTGGAAGCTCGCAGCCTGATTTGTGCTGCAGTGCTGGTGGCATTGGGGTGGATGGATGGAGCAGGGATGTCACTGGGTGCAGCATTTACTCAGCTGGAGCTTGCCTACCACAGGTGAGCTCAGGGCAGTCAGCAGGAGCTGCTGAGCCTCTGTAGTCTTTGTTCTTTCCATGAAGCCTTGACAAAAGGAAGGAAAGCTGGTGATGCTGCTGGCCCCTTCCTTGCAACGTGCTGGTTAGGTGAGCAGAGAACTGAGCACTTCACCCAGGATGGGGGTGGGCAATGCCTGTGTTGGGCAGGGGGCTCTGCCTGCCCCAGCATCAAGGCTTCATTAACCCATAACGCATCCTAGTGGCACCATCCGCTCCCTCCTTTGGTCCCACAAGCCCAAGGCCAGGATTTCCTCTTTGCTGCTGACCTCAGAAAGGGGTCAGCTCTGGCCAGAGGACGTGTGTGCCTCTGTCCTATGGAGCTGGGTATTTTTATCCCTCCCTTCCTCCAAGCTTGTCTCTTTGTGTTACTGCTGGGAAAAGGCAGATCTCAAAATATTCCAGAAGCTGTAGGATAAGATCGCTCTCAGTCTGCAGCTCTACTTTCAGCCCTCCCCACTCATTTATCTCACAATAAATGAATTTTCTCAAGGAAAATAAACATGAATTGCCAGAGCAAGCAGGGAGCGATGTGGATAAGCTCAGTTATAGGGCTGCACTGGAAAGCTCTGCACACTGCCTTGGCTCTGTTTGCAACACTTCCTAAGATGTGGATTTCCAACTGCCTTGCTGGAAGCATTGGCCAGGTGCTGTGCCTCTCCAAGCCTCAGTTTGCACAGCTGAAAAAGCAGGAGGGGTGGCTGGCTGCATGCTGTGGGGGCTGCCAGCAGTGCCTTCTGTGGGCAACAAGCAGTGGGTTTCAGCTATTAAGTTGTCCTACAGCAGCTGCCCCATTTGCTTTGCTCTATGCTAAGCTAGACAGATCCCTCTCAAAATCGTATCCGGGCTCTGTAGGATGTTTGTACACTGATGTGACAGGGCCAGGTCCCCACTGCCATGTGTTGCATCTGAAAAGCCAAGAGGATGGGATTTGAAAAGCACCAACAGAGTTACGTCACCTGTGCAAACGAACGTCACGCAGCCACGTTGGTTTGGCTGTCAGAGGGCTGCTAACCTAACATGAGAATTGCAGCTGTGTTCCGAGCCCAAAAGGTCTGCAGAATCCATCAGACTTGGCTGTGTTGGAGAAGGAAGGCTGTGTGCTCCCAGCTGGCTCCGTGTTCACTTCCAGCCTCAGCCAAACACGGGCTGGACTCAATGCCTTTGGTTTGCTTCCAAGCCCAAGCTTCTTCTCCAGGCGTCCCAGCCCTTGTTTGGCAGCGGAGGAACACTGGAAAACCTCAGGCATGTTTCCTGTAAAGTGTAATAGCAGCCTGCACTGCAGGGAGCGAGCTGTGTCGGCTGTTGATGGGGACTTGGGGACATGCTTGATGCTGCACTACTTCTTCTGTGATTCAATATTGTTATAGCAGCACTTAAGGGTCTATTCTCCCTTCTCTCTGCTCGTATAACTCTCATTACTGCTAATAGAGTATGGATCCGTTAGGGGATTCAGGCAGGCTGCACGCCTTGCCCAGGGTGCTGCGCGGTCCTTAATGGTGTCGTCAGTGCCTTTTCCATTAGCTGGAAACATCCCCTCTCTCCGCCACAGCATTTACAACATTAACAGCAAGCAAAAGGGAGTGTTTCTGACAAGGGAATGAGGCATATGAACGGGGCAATGTGCAATAAAAAGGCTTCCAGTGTTCTCCAGCACCAGGGTCACACATGCTGGGGATGCTATCGCTATTCCAGTAGCACCTTTGGCTCATGGGGAATATCCCAAGAGCCTGGGGCAGATGTTTCCTGCCACGTTCTGCCTGCACAGCGATGACAGCACCCACAAATATTAACCTCCATATCCTCTTCTAACAGGTCAGCCTTTTAAGCTGGACCCCAAGATGGCCCACAAGAAGTTGAAGATCTCCAACGATGGGCTGCAGATGGAGAAGGACGAGAGCTCCCTGAAGAAGAGCCACACACCTGAGAGGTTCAGTGGGACCGGGTGCTACGGTGCGGCAGGCAACGTCTTCATCGACAGCGGCTGCCACTACTGGGAGGTGGTGGTGGGCTCCTCCACTTGGTAGGCACCCCCTGACCTTCAGTATCCCTTGAGTTGCTATGGACTGTGCTGGGATTCAAGTCCAGGGTTGCTCAGGGTTGGAGAGTTGGACGCTGTTGTCATGGCTGAGACTTGACATTGGGCTGGCTGTGGGTGTAGCGCTCTGTGAGTGTCTCCTCTCTGCCAAAAGGCTGTGGGATGGCTCCAACAAGACTGCAAGGTGAAGTGTTATGTCCTTATTTCTCTCCCCTGCTGACCTCACCAGTGCCCACCGGGCTCAGCTCTCACCTTGATGACACCGTCTTTGGGTTCAGGCTCTTGGAATCTGTTCCTGTGCAAGCAGCCAGAGATGTGTCCAGCCTGCACAGGCTGGTGAAACACAACCCAACAGAGGTCAGGGTTAGGTTTAATCTCACAGTGAGGTCTCTGAGCAAAGCTTCTCCTCTCTCCCAGGTACGCCATCGGCGTGGCTTACAAGTCGGCTCCCAAGAACGAGTGGATCGGGAAGAACTCCTCATCTTGGGTCTTCTCCCGCTGCAACAACAACTTTGTGGTGAGGCACAACAACAAGGAGATGCTGGTGGAGGTGCACCCGCAGATGAAGCGCCTCGGCGTCCTCCTGGATTACGACAACAACGCGCTCTCCTTCTACGACCCGGCCAACTCCCTGCACCTCCACACCTTCGAGGTCTCCTTCATCCTCCCGGTGTGCCCCACGTTCACTATCTGGAACAAATCCTTGATGATCCTCTCGGGTCTGCCTGCCCCAGACTTCATAGATTACCCAGAGCAGCAGGAGTGTAACTGCAGGCCCCAGGAGTCCCCGTACGTATCAGGGATGAAAGCCTGTCACTAGGAGCGACCCTGCCCCACGGTGGTACCAGTGATGTGGGCTGGGGCTGGTGGTGGGCACCAGGAGCCCTCCGAGCCTCAGAGCAGCCACAATGCTCCAACAGGAGGGCACCCACCTGCAGCTCGTTTTATTTTTAAGGGGAAAACAAAAGAACCTCTGAAAATAAACTCCTGTTGGCCAGCTCCACGTGTGCATGCCAGGCTCCTGCAGCATCTTCGTGGCTCTCCCCGGGCAGATCATCACGTGGATGGTTTTGTTTCCCTGCATCCAGGATGGGCTTTTGGGTGATGTTCTCAGGTGCCGTGGTGGTCAGGCGGGATGTCTGGCGCATCCCTGCGGGTTGGGGCTGCAGGGATTGGCTTTCTGGAGACCACGAGAGACAGGTGGGATCTCAGTGTTGTTTAATGGGGAGGGCTCTGCGTTTGGCCAACGTTTGGCAGCTTGCCTGGGTCTGTGGTCCCCATCCCTCCGGCCCACTGCTTGTCTTATGGGAGGTCCCATTTCAGCAGGGAGACCCCAGATGAGCGTTTCCTAGGAGTTGGGTGAGGTGCTTCGTGCCCCTGGCACAGATGCTTCTCTGCTGGCTTTGTGTCTGATGTGCCTGCAGACAGAATGCAGCTCCCGTGCTGAGCAGAGGTGCTCAAAGGCCATCCCTGTGCTTTCTGGCCCAAAAGCTCAAGTTCAGACCCCAGAATCTTGGCACTCATTTGGTTCCCTGCCGTAGTGAAGCCATCCTGTTTGCTCTGTGGCAAAGGAGTCCTGGTATCCCAGTGAGCTGCCACCAGTGCTCCCAGTGCTCAAGCACCAAGCTGGGACCAATGAGGCCATGGGGCAGCGTGGCAGCATGGGATGTGCTGATGCACAAGCTTTGGTCCATGGTGTTGAAAATTGCTTTTTTCCCTCTGGTCTTACCTTGGTGGCATCACACGTTGACCAAAGCTGAGTCCGCCCAGCTCCGCCCATCTTTTCCTTGCCTTTTCTTTTTTGGTTGTTGCAATGGGGAGAGACCCTTGGACATTGCTGATAGGAAACTACCTCAAAGCCCAGCCCCAGAGGGGTGGGTGGCAGGCTCAGACAGCACGACGGCACCTGGGGGCTCATCCCACAGCAGGGAGGGGGCACAGGGGCTGTGTGAGGAGTCCCCACCAGTGAGCCACCCTGGGGAACACTTGTCATTAAGGGACGCAGGGACTGCATGGACACATTTGAGAGCACGGGGTGGGGAAGCAGCAGGGTCACACCTGCCAGCCCCACAGCTAAGCACACGAACACAATTCACTTTACAAGGCTGAGCTGCCGTTTTTGGTTGGATGTTTTGTTCCCAAAGCCCTGTGGGTCTTTTCCCTGCGTGCTGCTCGCGCTGCGCCAACCTCCAGCAAATGGCCAAGCACTGGAGATGGATTTCAGCTTCTGCAATCCGGGGCCAAGCTTTCTGCTGGCACCGGCACCGCTTATTGCCAGAGGACTCAGCGCATCCAGTAAAGCACACGAGCCATTACCGTGACGTTTGCACCTGATGAAATTGCACTAATTGCTGCGGGATCCCCGCGCGTCTCCTTCCCGTGGCGTCTGGGTCAACCCCATTGTCTTCTCCTGGTTGAGGAAAAGCAAAACCCAGCACTGCCAGGGAATGGGAGCTGTAGCCCTTCCCTGCTCCTCACCCCGCTGCAGCCTGTGCCCCCAGCCCATGTCCCACTGACAAAACCCGACCGGTGTGTGATGGCACATGGGCAGTTGTAGCCCATCCGGGCTCTGCGCCCACGGTTATGAATGAGCACGTTTCCCACGGGTAGGTTATGAATGAGCACGTTTCCCACGGGTAGCGGGGTTGGGGTCCCATGGGACTGAGGGTGCTGCCAGCCCCGTTCCTCCCGGTGACCCCACTGTACAGACTGGGGATGTGGGAAAACCCTGTCTGCCATGTTCTCTTCCACATGTAACATACTTGTTTCGGTTTTGTTTTGGGGGAGGGTTGCTTTTCCTTTTTATGTTTTCTTCTTTTTT